GTCTAATAGCATTCAATTTCGAAAGGTTCTCTGTGATTTTGACAATTAGAAAAGTGAGGAAAGCACAGGCCAAACAAATAATGACAATATAAAGGGTCATAAGGGGAACACCAGGAGAAAATATCTTATTAATTAGAGATGAGGAAAGAAGCTCACGAAGATGAGAAAGATGGAAGGATTTCGACCTGGGCAGGGTTTTCCCAGCAAAAAGGCAAAGGTAAGCAACAGTGGGCCCCAGAAGAAAATTTAGATTTGGAAACACCAAATCCTCGTGGTTGGTCTTAGAATATATTTGTTTTCTCCGCAAACTTGTTGCCAATACATACTATCTATGTTATTATTTTTATTTTTCTGCTTCCCCTATTAAGATGAACCCTGCATTGGGCAATGATTTTTTATATTATAGCTGCTCAGACCCAGTCTATATGCCTGATATACAGCAGCACTCAAATATTATGAAATGAGTCAGTGATGAATGAATGCAGAAAAAAGAGGAAAAAAGAATAGAGAGGTAGCTGGGGCCAAAAGCAACAACAACAACAAAAATTAAACACTAAATGGATGGCTACAAGCTTGGCCTTAGTTGGGCCTTAAGAAGAAGATTCAGGCATGTGCTGTGGCTTCACGCTGTAAAATCCTAGCTCTCTGGGGGCCAAGGCGGCGAGGATGGCTCAAGGACAGAAGTTCGAGACCAGCCGAACAGAGGTGAGACTCTTACAAATAGAAAAGAATTAATTGGTAATAAAATATATAGAAAAAATTAGCTGGGCATGGTGGCGCATGCCTGTAGTCCCAGGCTACTCAGGAGGCTGAGGCAGAAGATTGCTTAGCCAAGAGGCTGATGCCACAGCACTCTAGCCTGGGCAACAGATGAGACTCTGTCTCAGAAGATGATTCAATGGTGGCATACAGTTGTCACTCAGTATTGTGAAGGATTATTCAGGACCTCCCCACCTCCGGATACCTAAAATTTGCAGATGGTCAAGTACCTTATATAAATGGGCATATTGTATAACTCACGTATGTTCTTTATAATATTTAAATCGTTCTATATTACTTATAATTTCATACAATGTAAATGCTATGAAAATAGTTGTACACTTTATTGTTGTAGGAATAATAACAAGAAAAACATCTGTTATGTTCAGTACAGATGCATATATCACTTTCTTTCCTAAAATATTTCGTTACAGTTGAATACACAGATGCAGAACACAGATAGAGAGCAAATGTAAATCACTGAATCCAAAAGCAGATATAAATTCCATCCTATGTTCCTAAAACTCTTGAAGTTCTATTCTTTAAGTGCTATTCTATGGCCATATACACATGCAGGTTGAATATATAATTTTCTTTATTCTCCACACATCCTGAGCCACAAGAGAATCCATAACTTGCCCAAAGTCACTTAGTGGGAAGTGTGGTACCAGGTTATCCCAAACTGCCCAACTTTAAAAAGCTTTCTACCATGTTTCCCGATAAATAAATTACCCTAAATAAGCCCTAGCAGGATTTAACATTTGCGCAATATAAGCCCTACCTCCAAAAAAAGACTAGTGATGGCGTGGCTACGCAGTGTATCTGCACAACCCATGCATTTCTTTGTGGGAGCGGTAAAGAAGTTGAAACCCTTTTCTTGCCCCATTGAGCTCTATGCTTGACCATGAGAGATTTGGCATTGGTTCTAACAGGAAATAGAGTTGCAGAAAATTCAGGATGGAATTCAGGGGTTGAGAGTTATGATAATGTTCCAGAAGATGACAACTTATATATTGAATAAATGGAGATGTTGTCAGTACTTAAAAAAAAAAAATAACACATCCCCGAAAATAAGCCTAGGTTCTTCTTCAGGAAAAATTAAAATGTAAGGCCTGTCTTATTTCAGGAAACCGGTAGTCCAAATCTCTGCACAGTGCTAGCACATATTAACAAATCATTACTAACTTTATTCATATACTTAAGTAAAAAAAATACCCTTTCCAGATAACTGTATAAAAGATGAAGATTTCTCAAATAATTCATGAAAAGTCAATTACCTTGTTTGATGCCTGGTCGTATTGTGCTGTTGTTCTCACTAATTCATCCGCTACTTTTGTTATACCTTCTTTTTCAATTTAATCCAATTTTGCTTTCTCCAGTGTGAGTTGGGAGTTCTTGAAATATTTCACTTGCCTTTCATGTTTTTCTTTCTTGTAGACGTAGTTCCAACTTCATTAATGTTGCTTTAGCTCTTAAGCCACAAGTAAAACCACACCCAATTAGTACATGTTTCATAATGCTCGAATGTATCATTTATTTTACTCTACTCTGAATCTTCAGTAAGACAATATAACAATTTACGTTAAAACAGAAGCCATTAATGATTTAACTTCAATGGTCAGTTTCTTTGTCATTGTTAGTCAATATACTCTATAGGAAGCAGGAGAAACACATTTTCTCAGTTCTCACAGAAAACACAGGGGAACGCTTTTCTAAAACCACAATACTAGTTATTGAGGCTACAAAGATCATCACATATAACACAATTTGTTAAAATCACCACTTGGTTTTACACACTGGCAAACTATATTTGTTTTGCCATATCCATTGCAATTAGTGCTAAGCAGTGAAAGTTCACCCTCCTATATTCTCTGTAGCTTTACTCCAGTAACGATCAAGACAGTGTGAACTCCTACACTGCCAAAATTACAATGATTTTTTTTGTTGTTGCCACTTTTTTCCCCACATACACATGACATGGTTCCAATGGCATTGCAGTTGACAGCTCTCACCAGTGAGCACTGATGATATTTTCAAATATCACAGCACTGGAATTATTCATATTTCTATGGAGTGGATTCCAAAACACACTGGTACCCTTGGCGTCAGCTGCAGCAGGGCACAGCAGCCAAGGTGACAGGTTTGCTCCATATGGACAGCCCTGGAGATGAAGCAAAGTACTCTGGCAGACACGCACAACCTCTGGCCAAGAGCTGGTCAGACAGCAGGCGTGTTCCTGTGAGCACAAAAGGAGCTAGATGAGCAGAGTGGGGAGTGCAAACGTAACACCTACTCTCACCCGTCTCTGAAAGTTAACTGAAAGCTCTCAACCTACTTCAAAGGATTCAGGACACCAGGCTCAATGCATAATTTAAAAAGCGCATTCCAAAACCGTGGTATCTTTATCATTTTCAGAAAGACAGATTCCTATAACCAGCTGAGATGTTGAACCGTGATGTGTTAACAAACACATAAGCACTTCTAGGATTAAAATATGCGAAATCACTCTGAAATATCTCAGGGATTAATTAAACTTAGCTCAAAGTACCTTGATCTTGCTTTTAGTTGATCCAAAAGTGGAGAACTGCTAGATTATCACAGAAACTGCCATTAGCATTCTTTTCCTCTTTGAAATTGATCGACTTGGAGTCCCTCGATTCCCGAAACTTAGATGCAGAGAAATCTCTCCTACTGGAGTTTTTGGAATTGGATGAAAGACGACTTTGGGTCTTCTCTTGTTGCCATGGAGAACACAGACGAGGAAGCTGGTGTCGAGCAATGTCTTCGTGGATTCATGTGGCTTGGGAATGGTCTGGCTCGCTTCTGTACAACAGACACCCTTTAGAGCCTTCAGATCTGCTATCAAGCTATCTATTTTCAGACAAACGTAAAGCATAATACCAAGAAGCTGACACTTGTATGTCTCACAAAGAATGTTCATCAAGTTAAGGAACCATAAGTCCTAATACCAGTGATGAATTTCTAATGTGTCAGATTCTCAGCATTGAGGGGTAGCACTACCATCTGAGGCCCAACCTATTAAAATGGGCTAATCTTGGTATTTACTCTGCATCCCTCTGTTCCATTAAACATGTGAGTATTCACTCCATTTCGAATTCTAAACTGGCTTCATGCCGTCCTTGTCACCTCACCTGAGCTTGCACAAAGAGAATTAAAAGAAACATTAGCCTAAGTCAAGAATCTCACTTGTCCATCGTACCACTCACTCCCCGCACCCGAAAAAGTCTACCAGGATGTTATATAATAAATGTGTGGGCTTCTAATGCTTTTATGTTCTTTTGTTTCTCTCTATATCCATTCTGACAAATAAAGAACTCAGCTGTAGTTACATTAAATTTTTAGAGCAAGCACTTTTTCTGCATAGGAAGGAGTTAATATGTATAGAGACTCATATTCTCCATAAACATAACTCGAGAATCAATGTCAGGGCAGAATGGTACAATGAATGAGTGGTGACAGAAGTACATATATTCTAAAAACAACCAGAGAATTAGTATTAATTTTATCACGCTTGATAAGCAATGCCTTAATTTAACTTAGATATGTATATCAGAATCCTGGTAACCTCAAAACAGGTTAAAAGGAGTAAAATTTTAAAGTTCTAAGAAACAAGTACTTTTCTGAACCTCAGTATTTAAGGTACTTATTGTAAATTCAGCCTAAATTGTTTGCTGAATAGTGTATGTTTAGGTGAAGATATCATTAAGCGAGACTGGGTTTATTTCTTTAGCAAATAACATCATATGAACAGAAATGCTAGAGTCAAATTAATAGATTAATCGAAGGTATTTTCAGGGTCAGTCCTGAACTAGAAGCAGGGTTTTAGAAATCTGCATTTGTTTAGTTGTTGACATTAAACAAATCTTTTCACCTAGTCCCTTTCTGCTTATTTACCAATATCAATATGAGTTTAAACCTTGTCAGCAACTTATTAAAAGCACTGAGAAACTATGTTGTAGTTTCTGAAATAAACATTCACAAAAACCAATCCTCAAATTCCAAGTCCCTGGTAGTAATCACTACATTCCATCAAAAGGACAGTAGAGGAAACAACTGTCTCCAGGTGACAAAGCCTCAGGGATATTCTCTGGTCCTACCCTCTCCAACATGCTCAGTGTCACTAGATCTTAACAGGGAAATAATTAAATGGCTATGGTTTCCGTAGAATTCGGACCATTTACTATATTTGGCATCTCTAACCTCTCCACTCTATTTACTCTCCTCCTTTTTTTTTTTTTTTGAGAAAGAGTCTTGCTTTGTGCCAGGCTCAGTGAGTGCGTGGGTCAGCCTAGCTCACAGCAACCTCAAACCTTGGGCTCAAGAATCCTGCTGCCTCAGCCTCCCGAGTAGCTGGGATACAGGATGCGCCACCATGCCTGGCTAATTTTTATTTTTTCTATATATATTAGCTGGCCTATTAATTTCTTTCTATTTATAGTAGAGACGGGGTCTCACTCTTGCTCAGGCTGGTCTCGAACTCCTGACCTCGAGCAATCCACCCGCCTCAGCCTCCCAGAGTGCTAGGATTACAGGCGTGAGCCACCACACCCGGCCTCTCCTACCTATTTTTAAAACTAAAAAAAAAAATCACCTTTAATGTGCTAGGAACTTTTTCTCAGTATAAGAAAAATATATCAGCTCTATGTAAAACAGATTTTCCTCTAACCTTGTTCTATCTTACATCAAAGCACTTCCATTACTGCATACTCTATCATAGGGCCCTGATTAACTTACTTTAGCCTGCAAGGCTTTAACCTCTGCCTCTAATCTTTTTCGTTCTTCAACTTCTTTATTATATTTTTCTTTTAGATCTTCATACTTGGAACCTAAAAAACAAACAATGAAATACCGTTTTATGTCAATCACTGATTTCGTGAAGGAATGCACAGGTCAACAATGATTATAGATAGGCTAGAAATATCTTAGTATACCAAGTAGAAAGAACATTTTGGTTAGGGAAATAGATTAAAATATTGATCAATTTACTCAAAGATCAACATACACAGAAACATAGGTGTTTCGGATATTCTGAAACCGAATTTCTTTTAAAATACACGAGAGAAGGATGAAGCGAAAAGCTTAAAGGCTTAACCCAGTGGCTCAACATAATTCAATAGATATGCAAATGGATACGTAGCAAGTGGTTGCAGCTTTTAAAAATCAAATTAAAAGTTTAATTCAAAGTTCAGTTAATTCATTTATTTTACAGAATTAAAAATCTCAATAAAAGAGCTGTTTATAACAAGGGAAAAAAAATCTTTACCGCTATGATAGTAACTCGGTGTTAGCGGAGCTGTAAAAACGTTTTGTGGTGTACTGCACGGATTCAGAGAGACATCTGCAGACTGTGCAGCTTGTTGGCCTCTTTCAAGTTCAGATTTACACCTGTTAGAGAGGACCCAAGAGGCAGACAAATCAGTTAGAGCAAAGGCTACAGAATACCAATGCCACACATTCCCAGAGAATAATAAACTTACAAAGAAAACCACCCTCTACGAATTCTTAGCCATTTATCCATCAGACATTTAATAAGAACTATGGCCCAGACATAAATGCCTCCAAAGGAACTCAGTCTAGTTAGAGAAACAGAAATACAAGCAGATAATTATGATGTTATAAAGGCTATAATAAAGATCTGTAATAATTACTATTATACAAGAGCAAAAAATTGAGAGGTTGGGGATATAGTCCCAGCAAATATCATATCCTAGATCTTCAGAAATAGGGGAGGAAAGGGATGTCATTGAAGCATGCACTCAAATCATGAGAATGGACAAACCAGAGAATTAGTGTTGAATTGCTAAGTCATTAGTAATTTATAATTGCTAATGATATTACTTATGATATTTAGTCATTACAAAAACGTATACTTGATATACTGATCTCATATTATATGACATTTTAAAAACAGAGATTAAGTTAATATAACACATGTAGAAAAGATATGGCTGGAAACAGTTATAAAGATATGGAGAAAGTAAGTTACATATTGTACAGAATACCTAAATCATTCAAGCAAGTTCTGAACACCTTTCAGAACCAAACAACACATGTTAAAAGAGGGCTCAATTCTTGCAAGTCTGATTTTAGCTTAATATAAGAAATAAAATAAACACTCCATTAGCATGGCTAATGGGACACACCAGTCTCTTTGCCATAGGCACATTACTCAAAACAGGGAGTGAAGAAAGTAACTCAGTGCCCTTAGCTCCAACCAGCTCCAAACTCAATCTGGGAAGGAAGAGGCAACGTGTGAGCTGAAAATAATGACTGCTCAGCAAATTAAATCACCACATTTGAGCTTATAGTAGGTAATAATAATGTCCAATAGAAATGTTCTATTAGTATTAAAAAAAGCAACAAGAGGCCAGGCACTATGGCTCACGCCTGCAATCCACTCTAGGAGGCCGAGGCGGGCGGATTGCTCAAGGTCAGGAGTTTGAGACCAGCCTGAGCAAGAGCGAGACCTCGTCTCTACTAAAAATAGAAAGAAATTAATTGGCCAACTAATATATATAGAAAAAATTAGCCGGGCATGGTGGCGCATGTCTGTAGTCCCAGCTACTTGAGAGGCTGAGGCAGAAGGATTGCTTTAGCCCAGGAGTTTCAGGTTGCTGTGAGCTAGGCTGATACTATGGCACTCTAGCATGGGCAACAGAATGAGACTCTTGTCTCAAAAAAAAAAAAAAAAAAGGCAACAAGAAACAAGTAAAATCAACTTTAATAATTTAACTATTTTCAAGATATTATTATTCCAACTTGTAATCAAAAATAATTAAATATTTTACATTTTTTGTATTAAATCTTCAGAATATGGCATGCATTTATTATATATTCACAGTTCATCTCAATCTGCACCAGCCACATTTCAAGTACTCAATAGCTCCATATAGCCAGTGGCTAATGTAATGGAATTTGCAGACTGCCAGAGGTGTAACAAGGTTGGTGACCCTAGAGATGAATTTTGAAGAACCTTGTAAAACCTGTGTCTCTTTTCCCTCTTAAATTCACATCTTATCCCCTTTCCCCTTTCCTTTCATTTGAAAAAAAAAATATTGATTTTAAATATTAAAGTATATACCCTGCTACTACTTTCATAAACCTTTTGTTGCTCCTTTCTCCTAGGAAGAAAAAACACAAACCACCACCACCAAAAAAAAGCATTAAAAAGCTAAAAGCTGTTTTCTACTAGGTTGAACTATATATGAGATTTCCAATAGCAGCAATTTTGAATGTTTATTCCAAATGGCTCAACCTACCCTGTTGGACAGCTTCCTGAAACTTAATGAGTGGCCACTGAGAGAGAAAATAAGTTTCTACACTGCACTTGAAGGTTACCAGTGAGAATTTGAAAACAATATTCAGTTGTTTTTATGGTCTAGAGTTTATAAACTTTTATAAATATCTATTATCTACATCATAGATGAGTGTGTGTGTGTGTGTATATATATATATATATATTTATTTTGTTATTTTTTTGTTTTTTAAGAAGTGGGGTTTCACTCTGTTGCTCAGACTAGTATACTTGACTCATAGCTCACTGCAGCCTCAAACTCTGGGCTCAAGCAATCCTTCACCCCTACCCTATCAAATAGCTGGGACTACAGGCGTGCAACCACTACGCTCAGCAAGAATATTTGTACACCAAATGTACTATGGGGAGTATCCTAACCCTATGATGATAATAATGACAACTAATAAAAACTGATAATAATGGTAATAATAAAGCTAACATTTAACAGTTGCTTCATGTCTTGTACAGTCCTAAGCACTTCATATCTGTAGGCATTGCTACCACATGGCATTCTGCAATGAAATACAGAAATGTATACAAAATTGTCTTTCCTGAATTGTTAAAAATACAAACATTTCTACCTAAATTATTAAAACTAGTATTTCTAAAACCTGCACCTAACATGTGCTTTCCAAAGAAATAATTATTCCAGCATACTGGGTGAGCTTCCTACTTGCCCTAGCACCTGTTTCCCAAAACTATCATCTATCTTTCATTCATTCACTCAACAAATATTTGAGGGCCTACAATTGTCAAGTGCTATAAATGCAGTGAAGAACAAGACAGACAAGTTCCCTTGTTCTCCTGGGACTTGGGACAGTAGACAATAAACAAGAAAATAAAAAACTCAACAAGACAGACGTTGACTTACTCTAATACCCAACTTTTAGATAGCTACATCCTACACAGATAGGAAACAAAATTAGAAAAACATTTCCAGGCATATAAATTATCATCTTCATAGAAAGATAAATAGGAGTAATTTTAAAATGTCTTAACTTTCAAAAATATTTTTTGCGATATAGGTAGAATTAAGATTATTGTAGCTATGCCAGGAAAAAAAAATTCTTGGTATCAAGATTGTTTATTAATCACAAAAGAAAAAAATTACAGTGGAGAAACTCAGACCTTTACAGTCGAAGAAACTTAACTTACGGTAGAGGAACCTAAACTAAGTGATCAAGGTTGTAAGTCATATTACATCATGTACCCTCTGAGACGATGCACTGAGAAAAGTACATCATTACTTTGGCAATATTCTTGCTAAAACTTAATAACCCCAATATGATCCAGTGGAGCTCAACCAGAGACAATTTTGCCCTCCCAATAGACACTGCGCAATTCTGAAGACATTTTTGATTGTCATGACTTTGGGGTAGGGTGGATGCTATTGGCAATCTAGTGTTTACAAACCAGGAATACTATTAAGTCCCATACAACACAGAGGTCAGCCCTTCATAATAAAAAATAATACAACCCAAAACGTCAACGATGCTTGTGTTGAGAAACCCTAATCTAATTAGAGAAAAAACATCAGCCAAACTGAAGTTGAGGGCTATTCTACAAAACAACTGACCAATACTCTTCAAAAAGGTCAAGATCACAAAAGACTAGGAACCGATACAGTTTAGAAGAAACTAAGAAAACCTCAACCAAATGCAAGGTGAAATGTAATTCACCACATAAATAGAAGTACAAAAACCATATGGTCCCCTTAATAGACACATAAAAAGCATTTGACCAAATTCAGCACCCTTTTATGATAAGAACACTTAACAAAATAGGCACAGATGGGACTTACCTAAAAATGATAAAAGCTATACATGACAAACCCACAGCATAGATCATACTGAATGGGGAAAAACTGAAAGCATTCCCACTCAGCACTGGAGCCAGGCAAAGTTGTCCTGGATCACCACTTCTAACATAGTGCTGGAAGTCTTAACGAGAAGCAATCGGACAAGAGAAGGAAATCAAAGACATCCAAATGGGGGCAGAAGAGGTCAAACTATCACTCTTTGCTGACAATATGATCTTATAGCTAGAAAACCCCAAAGATTCTGCCATGAGACTACTGGAATTGATAAACAAATTCAACAAAGTCTAAGGTTACAAAATCAATGTACAGAAATCATTAGCATTCCTCTATACACCAACAACAGTCAAACTGGGAACCAAATCAAAGACTCAATATCCTTCACAACAGCAACAAAGAAAATAAAATACCTAGGAATATATTTAACTAAGGAGGTGAAAGACCTCTACAGAGAGAATTATGAAACAGGAAAGAAATAGCAGAGGATGTAAACAGGTGGAAAACCATACCATACTCATGGGTTGGCAGAATCAACATTGTTAAAATGTCTATACTACCCAAAGTGACCTACAGATTCAACACAATCCCTATTATAAAATACCAAAATCATGTTTCACAGATCTAGAAAAAATAATTCTATACTTATGAAACTAGAGAAGATCCCATATAGCAAAAGCAATCTTAAGCAAAAAGAACAAAATGAGAGGCATCAATTTACCAGACTTCAAGCTATACTATAAGGCTATAGTAACTAAAATAGCATGGTATTAGCACAAGTACAGAGGCATAGACCAATGGAACAGAACTGAGAACCCACTGAGAATCATCCTCATATAGCCATCTCATCTTTGACAAAGCAGATAAAAACATACACTGGGAAAAGAATCTTTATTCAATAAATGGTGCTGGAAAAATTGGATAGCCACATGGAGAAGACAGAAATAGGATCCGCACCTTTCACCTCTCACAAAAATCAACTCACAGTGGATAACAGACTGAACC